TATGTGGTTTGAGGCCTATGTGGATGAGATTGTCATTGTGCGGACAATCTTGGGAAAAAAGGTTAATTCTAGAGAGAAATACGGTGAGTATGTGACTCACGTGTGATTATGGTGGATCGTGTGGTATGTATTAATGGTATCGTATGTTTCATAGTGGTGTGTCATGCATTTTCATGTCATGTCTTGTGGAGATGAGCCTAGGTGAGAATCTATGATGGGTGCCTAATCTCAACAGGACTCTATGTGGGAGTCGAGTTGGAGATAAGTTGTAGTTCGGAGGAACGTATACGACTTATCCGAATTCCGATGGAAATCCAGTTCCAAGAATGAACTGTATGGATTGTGTTGGCACCACATGCATGGCGTCATGTCAGTGTAGTCACATTGCATATATGTATGACTATAATGAACTGAGTTTGATGATTATTGTTATGGCACTTATATAAGCGTGATAGTGCCTGATTGGTGTGTTTTGTATGTTTACTACTCCTCAGCATGTAAATTTCACTGTGTATTTATTAAATGTAATTCTCACCCCCTTTTCTGTTGTTGTGTCTGTGCTTCTCGAGGAATACAGATAATCAGGTATCTGAGTAGTGCTTAGAGCGTGTGTTGCTATTGATTGAGTCTTAGGAGTCACTCTGATACGTAACACGGGATGGATGATAATTTGTTATCTTTTGCATTGTTTTTCATTTGTTAGGTATATTGTTTTCAAATTATGTTGAACCACGAGTTTTGTGGATGCTATTTGTTGTTAAAGCCTTAGCGCTACTGATGTGAACAATTTGAATATTCTGTTATTTGATTTATTATTATTTTTATAAGGAATAAAGGCATGAAGTGACTTGATACTTCATGAAATTTTAGGGATGTGGCATCTTACTTGTGTATCTCTGATAATTCGGTAAACTATTTTTATTATTATTTTCATAATTAATGAATGAGGAGAATAGGGTGTTACACCAGTCGTTCGGTGCTATGGTAGCCCGTGCCTCCTCAAGTACCATATGACTTTCATAATCAGCAAACATCTCCTATATCTGTCTACGAGATAAGGCAGGAGGAGCAGAGACAACAGGGCGTCTGAGGATGGTCTAGGTGTATCCGAACTACCGCATGATGCGCTCGGGCAGATGAGGAGCAGGGATACGCGATCCGCAGGTTAACCATCCTGAGTATAACGCTATCTCGTCAAATGTCCATGTCTAGCATTGATCCACGTAGCTGTTGAAGTGCGTGTCCTCAACAACTAAACGATCAAGATAGACTTTGAAAGGCTCGACCGTCTGGTTTCCTCTGAGCAGGATAAAAGCACATGCAAGCAGTATATCCTCAGTGTAATCATCTACACTCGCCTAGCCAGCGATATGCGAGAAGTGCAAGAGGATCCAAGCCTGAAGTAAAAAAAAAATCAAGGATAAATAATTATTGGAAATGATTTCACAAATATGAAATGAAAATGACAAAAAAACATTCAAGGATCAAGAATTAATACCACTAATATTGTCAAGCTTCCTGTGACTCGTTTCGTCTTCCACCGACATCCATATCTCAACTTAGAATAATGACAGGCCAGGCAAGCCTCCCTCCAGCTGTACTCATGGATCCGAGTGAGATCTAAGAAGTACTGAAGGTATGCAACGTTAGTATAAGTAGCACTCATGTCCACAAAAATGCAAGTGCCAACCAAAAAAAGAAAATGTGCCCTCAAAGCATGAACCTTGTATACCCACACCTGCTCAACATTTCCATGAGCCTCCTATGTAACATGGATCTCATCATCATATATCTCATTTAGGAACTCAAACCTAGCATGAGCACCCATGGTCCTATCCACCTCCTCAATCGCATTCTCTAGATCAGCTCTCAGATGCTCTACCATCATCTCGACTGCTCAATTTTTGGTCATCCTCCCATGATTGAAGAATCTCCCCCTGATCGAGAAAAATAACAAACACGAGACATTCTCCAGTGTGATAGACATCTCATCGTGCAAGAGATGAAACAGGGAGGTGTCATAATGCCATCTCTCTATGAATGCATTAAGCATCCCATGGTTGACCAGAGTGTAACCGGTCATGCATAAGTTCTTCAGGTCAGATAATAACATAACCGACTGAAACCAATCCTCCTCGGGATGAGGCAAACAAGTAATCTTTATCTCATGGTTAAGAAACTTATGGGGATCACACTCCTGAAAATTTCCAGAAATAATCAATGTTCAGTAAAATGCATGTCATCAATTAAAATTAAACTTAACGCATAAAAAAAATAAAGACACCAACTAATGCTACCTCTATGTCCCATATATGTTTAGCAGTATGGTCTGGATACAGAGGAAGTAAGGACAAATCATATGGACCTCCTCCAAAACCCTCTGCCTCGGCAACCTCATCCTCTGGAGGTGGCACTAGATCAAGCAAGTGACGCATCAGATGGTGAATCCCAACTCGTACGGGAAGAAGAAGAATGTGGAGTGGCTTGAGATGGAGTGGCCTAAGGTGAAGCACGAGCCCTAGGAGTAGATGGGGCCCCAGAAGTCGACGCTTCTACTTGACCAGATGTACCTACTGCATCAGGAACCTGCTGGCTCCACTCCTACCGAACGGATGCATGCTGAGCAACTCTGACATGTCTCAGTCTGTCAACTCTGTTAGCCATTATGCATGTAAGGTAAAGTAAGACATATCATTAGTGCACACAAACAACACACACATGCAAAAGAATATTTTAAAAAAGAATACAGGAAATTTCAGAGATACACCTTCAGAAACACCATAAAACTATAACGAACAATTTCGGAGATACATCTCTGAAACACCATAAAACTATAACGTTGAACAATTTCGGAGATGTATCTCCGAAATTTCCCAAAGTATATGAAACGTCGAACAATTCCGGAGATGCATCTCCGGAATGTTCTGCAACACTGAGGTCGCGTCAATGGCGAATGTACCTCATCCAAGTTGAAGAAAACATGTCCTGATCGTCATTTACAGCCAACAAACAAGTTATACACTAAGTCTAAACTATGTTATATGCGATTCCTACTCATTTCTAACCATAATAATTGATTTCTACACATTTACACTAAAACTCAAAATTTATTCGAAAACTCAAAAAATTACCTGAAATTTATGGTTTTGATGATGTCGAATGATGTTATAAATGATGTTTGATGTTTCTTTGAGCCTTGTTTGATGAAATTTGATGTTGCGAAGTTGAAGTGTATTGGGAAGGAGGAGAGTTGAGTTTGAGTGTATTGAAAAAAGTGTGAAATGAAAAAGGAGAAGAGTTTGATGCGACTTATGCTCCAAAATGTTCTGGAGATATATCTCCGAAATATTTCAACGCTCATTGGACTTTGAGTGCGTTTGAAGATATATCTCTAAAATCAAAAAGCATATGTGAAATTTCATATGATACGATATAAATACATAAGAGACTATAAGGTATTTTCAAAAGAAATCATACACCTTGTTCTTTAACCCATAATGACACCTACAAGTTCGATATAAACATCTATACAATTTAGAAAAACAATTATAATGGTAATTTTTTAATAGATTTAATTTAAATTTCTCAAAACAGCAGCTTAAATATATATATATATATATATATATATATATATATATATATATATATATATATATATATATATATATATATATATATATATATATATATATATATATATATATATATATATATATATATATATATATATATATATATATATATATATATATATATAAAATCATGTATGAGATTGAATAAAATTTTATGTCAGAAATTGAATAATTTTTTTTCCAAAATACAATTATTATTTTTTATTTATCAAAACTACTACTATTGTAAAAATTACTATTCATTTGATAAAAAATATCCCCTTATAAAATTTTAATAATATTAATAAAAAATGAGATTAATTGTTATGTATTGTCAGTTTAAAAAGTTTTACACAGTTAATATATTACAATTATTCATTGGTCTTCTTTTTTAAGTGGTTAAAATAAAAGTTAAATTTTTTAAATATATTAATGGTTGTGATTATCTAATAATATAAAAAATCTTTAAAAACTGTAATTCCATTTCAATTAAATTCATAAAAAATATAACACAATGTTTAATAAAAATAAATTCAAAAATATAAACAATAACATAGCTGTACGTTGAAGATCTAAAAAAAATTATATTAAAAATGATAAATTAAATTAAAAGTGTCAAAAATTAAAAATAATTAATCGATATAAATAAAAATAATAAAAGAAAGAGTTTAATTAATATACACCAACAGAGTAAAATAATTTTACACTGTTCTCCAATAATAATTCATCAATCTAATATATTATATAATTAATTTAAAATTTACATTCTGATATAACGAAATATATAATGATGATTGGTTGACGGTGTATATTTATAGTCAATCATAACTTTTTTATTAATTAAAAAATAAAAATAAAATTTTCTCTCAAATTCATATCACAACCACTTCATAATTTTAATTTTCTGTATGTAATAAATTGAAGCTTTTATATATTTTTTATTCTTTCTATTTTTTCTTTTAGAAAATATAAAATATACACGTAAAAACCACATATATTTCTTTTATATATTTTTTATTCTTTATATTATCGTTCAACCACATATATATATATATATATATATATATATATATATATATATATATATATATATATATATATATATATATATATATATATATATATATATATATATATATATATATATATATATATATATATATATATATATATATATATATATAATTATAAATTATAAATTAATAATATAAAATGATATATTAATAAATTTCTATTAAATAAAAAAAATTAGTTTACAAAATTAATATTCGTCCATATCAAAACGTTTTAAAAAAATAAAAATAATAACAATAAAGGGAATTATTGAAGTAGTTATTCGTCTCACATTGAAATCATTGCTCAAGATTTACCTTATCCTTCCTTCATAGTATGAATCTCCATTCCATAGTTTCTTTACCTTCTCTACTTCCTGTCTCTGCAACTCCTAACCTTCCCCCACTATTCAGAAAATATCCAACAACTTCTTTTCCACCACATAAGGTACAAATTTTCTGACTTCTATAATAAGTTTTTATTTAATTAAGTTGTTTATCCAAACAGAACTTAATTGAAATAAGTCAAAAACAGCTTATAAACATGTCATGAGTTATTTGAATATAGTATTAGTCCAGATAAGTTGTTCAAAACTCAATCCAACTACACCCTAATTCCCAATTTTAATGGAGTTGCAAAATTATAATTGATTCCATAATCAACCTTAAAGACTACACTGCTTATTTAGGGCTTTTTAGGATTGACTTATTTGAACCTATGTTTTGTGCAAGTGTTTGGAAGACTTTTCTAAAACAGCATTTTTTATAAACATTTTTTTAATGTATTTTTATTAGCTAAATGGCTTATAGCATATATAAAAATAATTTAAATTTATTTTATCTTTTGTTATAACAATAGCTTATATAAGCTTATTCATAAGCGCTTATTTTTTATAAGCACTTGTGCTATAAGCTGTAAATAAGCCCTTTATCCAAACATGCCCTAAATATTTACCTGCAGCTTATGCTTTCAGGGTCAAAGCATTTCATTAAAGAAGAGTCACATATCAACACTTTTGGATCCAAACAAGCACCATAATTTTCAAGAAGCACTTTCATTTTTAAAAGAGGGTAAAGAAGAAGTAGATGGATCTTTCTACATTCCCTTATTACAACAATGCTTAGAAAATGGCTCTTTTTCATCCACACAAATTATTCACTGCCACATAGTGAAAACAGGTAACCATGAAGACTCTTTTTTGGCAACATTTTTGGTCGGTGTTTATGCCAAATGCGATAAAATGGAGTGTGCTCAAAGAACATTTGATCACATAAACCGAAAAAATGTTGTTTCTTGGACCCATTTAATGAAAGGTTATGTGCAAAACTCGATGCCAAAACATGCTATACATTTCTTTCGAGAGATGTTGTTACATTCAGAGTGTAACCCTTCAACTCACACTCTTGCTATAGCCCTTAATGCTTGTACATCTTTGCAATCTTTGAAGTTAGGAGAACAATTACATGCTTACTTAATCAAACGCGATTTTGATTCTGACACAAGTATCGGCAGCGCACTTTGTAGTTTATACTCTAAATGTGGTGGTAGGTTGAGATTCGGTCTAAAAGCATTTAGAAGAATCAGAGAAAAGGATGTTATTTCTTGGACTGCGGCGATTTCTTCTTGCGGCAAGAATGGTAAAACTAAGAAGGGTTTGAGAGTTTTTGTTGAGATGCTTTTAGATGAAGTGCTGGTTCAGCCTAATGAGTATACATTAACTAGTGTATTGAGTCAGTGTTGTGAGGTTATGTGCTTAGAGTTTGGGATTCAGGTTCATTCTTTGTGCACTAAATTAGGGTACGAATCAAACCTACGCGTTCGGAATTCTTTATTGTATTTGTACATTAAATGCGGTTGTATTGATGAAGCTCAAAGATTGTTTAAAGGAATGGATGATGTCAGTTTGGTTACTTGGAATGCTATGATTGCTGGACATGCACAGATGATGCAACTTTCAAAGGATAATTTTTCTGCGTACAGAAGTGGAAGTGAAGCACTCAAATTTTTCTCCGAGTTGAATCGATCTGGAATGAAACCCGATTCTTTTACCTACTCAAGTGTGTTGAGTGTTTGCAGTAGAATGATGGCTTTAGAACAAGGCGAACAGATTCATGCTCGGACGATCAAAACCGGCAATTTATCCGAGGTTTTTGTAGGTTGTTCTACGATTAATATGTATAACAAATGTGGAAGCATTGAGAAAGCAAGCAAAGTTTTTCTAGAGATGTCTATCAGAACAATGATTTTATGGACTTCCATGATTACTGGTTTTGCACAGCATGGTTGGTCAAAACAAGCATTGAATCTTTTCGAGGATATGAAACTTGTAGGAGTTAGACCTAACCAGATCACTTTTGTTGGCATTTTATCGGCTTGTGGAAGTGCAGGCATGGCCAACGAAGCATTCAATTACTTTGAGATTATGCAAAAGGAATATAAAATTAAACCTGTGATGGACCATTATGCCTGTTTGGTTGATATGTTAGTGAGGCTCGGTCAGCTTGAGGAAGCTTTCGATTTTATAAAGAAAATGGATTATGAGGCTAGTGAGTTTATTTGGTCAAATTTGATTGCTGGTTGTCTAAGCCAAGGGAATCTAGAATTGGGATGTGATGCGGCAGAAAAGCTATTAAGTCTCAAACCGAAAGATACCGAGACATATGCATTGCTATTGAGTACGTACGTCTCAGCCGGGCGGTTCGAGGAAGTTTCTTTGGTGAAGAATATAATGATAGAAGAGAAAATCGAAAAGTTAAAAGATTGGAGCTGGATTAGCATCAAAGACAGAGTGTATTCATTTGAAACAATTGACAAAGCACACCTAGAAACTTTACTAGTAAGTAAATCATTGGAGGATTTACTTGTGAAAGCGAAGAATCTTGGATATGAGATGTTAGAAAGTGTGGAAATAAGTGACAAAGAACATGAAGAATCTTCCTCTACCATTTATCATAGTGAGAAGCTAGCTATTACATTTGGGTTGGAGAATTTGCCGAATTCATCGCCAATAAGAATTGTGAAGAATACCTTAATGTGCAGGGATTGCCATAATTTTGTGAAGTATATCTCAACACTGACTAGTAGGGAAATCATTGTTAAAGACAGTAAGAAGCTACATAAATTTGTCGATGGACAGTGCTCATGTGGGAATATTGGTGGTTTTCTCTGATATCCTCTATAAGGTGCAGCTAAAAAGTTCACGAGTTAATCAATCAAGAGATGACCAAAAGCAGACAAATTTTCACATTGCTACACTTCTACAAAACATAGGCTGCTTTATATACTGTCAAATTTTGAATTGTTATAGGTTAGTTAACTTTTGCTTTTGATAATATGTACAAAATTATACCATGTATTGACTAGGTGACAAATTGTTTACATATGATAATATGTACAAATAGCTTGCACATCAAAAGTAGTTAAAATTCAAGTGCAAACTAAGATCGGAAGTTCACTAGCAATTTGCTTTATTTAAAAGTAAATTGTATTTATTTATTTATTTATCATTTTCTAGCAGTTTGTTTTGGTGATGCAGCACCAAGAAAACATATGAACTAACATAACTTGTGCACTTCCATATACAACAGTGTTAACCGATAACATGAAAACTATTTAACACTCTTTTGACTGTAAAATCTGGATACATTGTAAGGGCAAGACCAAAAAGGAGGACAAACAGAAATTTACAAACAAAAACTCGCTATTTTTGTCATTACAGTTCACACCTGATACCTTTTTCTCTTTCAAATTTGAATCTGTTCTTGTATATATAAAGAGGCCTGGGTTGGTTATAGATACTAAAGAGGTGACTCGGGTGTTTTCTGCAACACTTCCACATTATATATCTTACACAGCTAGATTTCTTTCTCCATCCATTTCGACAACTAGATTTTTTTCGTCTTTGCATTTCAATCAGACCTAAAGATACCGCGGGCTACAAAACTAGTGTCTTTTGCTTCTATTCTTGGAGGTCTTCAATTTGCTTGTTTCATGAGGCGATTTCCAGATGATATCTTCAAGATTGCTAGAAAAATTCTTGTAAAACTGTGACATAGAAGAGGTACTTTTTTTTGGTTAAAATTACAATAAATTGATGGAAAGAAAAGTGAGGTATAAAACCAACCATACAAACAACTCTTAGAAACTGACCTTGAGATACTCACTAGAATCTCCAGCTGCTTTCTGAATATCCACCATGAAAAATGTTGGAGCAACTTCAAAAACCTTTTTGAACAAACCAAAAAAAAGAGATCAAGAAATGAAATTGAAAGCCGAAATGTTAAGGGACTGTTTAAAGTCAAGAAGATAATTATCAACTTACTTCCAATATAACCGAGAAATGAGATTTCTTATTTGCTGAAATACCCTCTATTCTCATCTGAATATATAGACCAAAGACCACTTCAGATTAGTAAAATCAAGATATGGGCAAGCTTAATCTTAAGTTGAATTAACAGCAGATACAATGTATAAAGATTGATTTTGTAGAATAGATAAGTGGACAAATGGTACAAAATAAACAAAAGTGAAAGATTCAACCTTATAGTTACGAATATGCGTCTTGAATCCCATTGATTGTGCCACAACTTCCATACTTGTTAAAACCACTTTTACTGGCTTTTGAGTGACGAAGCGTGTTTGGTACTTCATAGTGTCCTTAAGATAGTGACAGAATATGGGAATGCAATTATGCAAATTTTCATAGCAAGCCATATTAAATGGGCGGTTATTTGAATATTTACACATGATTATTGAGTCATAAAATAAACAACAGTGTAATTTTTTAAATATGAATACCTGTCCCCGATCAAAGATTGATGCCAGGTTTAAGCCTTGAGATAACATTATCATGTCGAATGCATTAAGAACTAGAGGACCTGTGTCCTCAACCTCACATTGCTGATTATCCCTCTGATCCTTCAGCAACAAAATAATCAGGATGTCAACATAACTGATACAATTTTAAATCAATGCGCATGAAACAGAAATTCTGAATTGAAGCGGCTTAAAAAGTTAAGATAGTTATGACGATAGCTTTTGCATTCATCGGTACCTTTGAATCAGTATCTCCATCATCATTGATCTTTTGAGTTTTGACTAAACCAGAGATTTTAATGATATTAATTATTCTACTTTTAAGACATCTTACAACTTAAATATACTTAAGATTGAGTAATGTTATATTTTCTTGTATAAAGAGAGAGGAGTATATGAGAAATATACATAAGGCTTAACCTACTTAATCCCTAAGATTAGGGAATAGGATCAATTAAAAAGAGAATAGTATCTGAACAAATACAATGATATCTCAGCAAATATCTTTCACAGATATTGTTATTTTGTACTCCAAAAAAATTCGAGGTAGGAGGACAGGGTATTCACAAGGTACATTCGGAAAGGCTGAGGTGAATTAGCTCAAATGTAAAAAATCCTACAATATACAACTTCTACTAATGCAGAATGAAAATATAAACAGACCTCAACACTGTCAAACACAGCATTTATATCATCCAGATTTACATCTTCATACTCGAGGAGATGGACAGGAACGTAGCTTTTTTGAAACCACTCATCATTTCTAATCTGCTCAATGGTAATACGCTGAATTCAACATGCACACAAACACTCATGGATGAGAATGAGAAAGACTTGGTCAAATATTGCAATGAAGTATATATTATATCCACTAAACTGTAGATATTAAAACAATATAATAATCGTGTAAACTAAAACCAATTTATACAACAGAAAATGGAATAAATCCTTGAACTGCAAAGGATGAATAGTTCACCTTCAACAATATTGTTCAACCATATTAACGGAACTAATACTATAGAAAATAGTTAATAAGTATTTGGTGAAATATAATTGATGAAATAAAAACTTTTAGGTCTCACACCAACAGGAGGATTAGTATTAGTCAGAATCATAACATTAAATTAACTCTTCTCTTAGAATTTGAGCTAGGGTTAACTCAATCTAAAAATAAGCTCTATAGGTGAGGATGCCGAAGTATTATAAAGATTACTTGGGCTACATCTCTAGTCAAATTAAGATCTTAGTTGAGACACCCATCTTGTGCCCAAACATATATATAGATATGGAAAATGTAAAGTTTGCCAGACCGGACATCTACAAAAGGCCTAATATAAGATCTATGATTAAAACCGCAACATCTACGTATATACTAATATATTAAAACCGCAACAACAACAACCAAGCCTTATCCCACTAAGTGGGATTGGCTACATGGATCAAATTAAATCCGCAATCATAATAAAATCCTTTTCATTCCTTAATGAAAACCCTATAATTTCAACAACGGTTATGGCTTGATATGACAATCCAAATATATTATGGTCTAACCCGTATTTATATTAATATACTAAACTTCTAATCCTGATAATTGGTACATTCCTAATACTATAGATATTCTAAAGATAAAACAATATATTATCTTTTCTTAAAAAAAATAATAATGAGATATTTTTTAAATAATCTAAGAGACAACAAACATTAAAAGTCCTCATTTCGACCGGGGAAAGAAACTTATAAGTAAGTATGATTTGATATCCAAATGACCCGGGCTACAACAGAAAAGAAAAGCCATCAATACTGTAAGGTCTGATCAATCAATTTTTTAATTACAGTTTTTCTTTTAATAAAAATCATACAATTTCATTACCAAGATTGACAACTACATATCATGACACACTAGGACATTCTAGATCCTTTGAGATGCAACATGAATTTTGTCATGAAATTCATGAACACAATTAATTTTCAGTTTCTGAGCTCGGACAACATTAGTTATAAATTGATTGATACTGAAATGCCATGTTTCAAACCTCTAGCCATTGATAAAAAAATCTTGTTCTGCAAAGGAATTCTTACATGCTCAGGGTTTGGGTCCAAAATTCTCTGTATCAAAGATTTCGCTCCCACAGGAAACCAAGCAGGGCATGAAAACTCTGCCTTGTCAATCTGCAAGGAAGTAAGAAAAAATCAACACCATTAATACAAATCTGAATTTTCTTTTGAACAAATCTTCTTGAAAACAAATTATTATTAGACTATGTGCTGAGCCTTTTGACAAGAACTTTTAGAAACAAATTCATTATCACAAAAAATTCAGAATCACAAGAACTTGTACGAACAGCAGCCAGCACCTCTTAAATAATGCAGCCAACATAATATGTTATTTTATGCAATTGCAAGATAAATAGATAAAACAAATAATCCTTTTGATCACTATTATAAGCAAAACTTCATTTTGTATCTGGTCAATATATAGACTAGATACATCCGTTATTCATTGAATAACAGATGTATCTGGTCTATTTATACACCAGATACAAAATGAACTTTTCCTTATAATAGTGACCGGAGGGAGTATTCAACAATGGAAATTCCATCTAATATGCAGAAAAATGTAGATTTGATGTCTAAATCCATGCCTTACTGTATAGCGTGGTAAGATCAAGCTCATCAAAGGGAAGATATCCCGCCATTAGAACATAGAGGATAACGCCACAGGACCAAACATCTGCTGGAGCACCATTATAACCCTTGTGACTGAGTACCTGAGATCACAAAGATAAATGTCAAATAAAGAAGCTCGAATACTAGCATAGTGAGTAGCCAAAGTTGACATAAAATCATATTAAGAGAGCAATGAGCAACACAAATACTACCTCAGGAGCTACATAATTAGGAGTTCCACAAGTTGTCCGCAGCATACTAACCCCCTATGAAAATTTTCACAAATTTAAGCATGTGTCTAGTATTCAAAACCTATATAAGATTTGATTTACATGGATTCAAGACTTCAAGTCAAATTTATGAATTATGTGTTAACAATCTCACTTGTTCTGGCAAAGCACTCAAACCGAAATCTGAAATCTTCATATTTCCTAGTGAATCAAGTAAAAGGTTTTCAGGCTGCAAAAAGGGGAGGAAAACTGTTAGACGACACCACGAGATGGATGACGAAAGCACTCCAGGTCTCAGTCAGTACAAACCTTTAAATCTCTATGATAAACTCCTTTACTATGGCAATAATCTACACCATCAATAAGCTGTTGGAAGTATCTCCTAGATTCAGCTTCACTGAGACGCCCGTGGTGTACCTGCATCATTCTTATCTTCATTATATATTCAATGCCAAAAAAAGTGCTGATAAAAATCATGATTGAAATTTAACGGAAAAAAACATTGATCCAATTTTAGCTACTCACAATTTTATCAAACAATTCACCACCTGTGATGAACTCCAATATGATATAAATCTTAGTACGGTTGGCAAGAACCTGAAGAAAACATCATTTAAAACAGAATGAAGCACTTGTTAACAGTGACAACAAACAAGATAGAAACATTTATCAATATTGGGTCGTTGGAGCAGTTCTTCTAAAACATATATTTTGAAGGATAATAAAATACAAGAAAGAGAAAAGGAAAGTTCCAAACCAAGTAAAATTCAAAAACAATTCCTACAATATTGCTTCTCTCCTAACGCAGTTAAAGAACCGAAAACTTATAATTTAGGTTTTACTTTACTAACCTGAAAAGACTTACGAAGCTTACAAGTAACTTTATTTCACACTTCACACATATTCGTCATATAACTTGGAGAACAAATGATTAATTTCAGACCAGAAGCCAAACAGCCCCTTAATTACCTTTAAGAGGGGAGAAAGAAACAATATCTACAGACAATAACATATTACATACCTCATGAAGGCGAACAACATATGGATGTCTAACTAGCTTCATAATAGAAATCTCCCTCTTGATCTACAATAAGTTAAAACAAATAAATAAACAAATAGCAAACACAGTAATGTAAATAGAAACCATAGCAATCACAAATATAGTAAGCATCAAACCTCTTGTATCATAAAAAGGGAAAAAAATCCAAGCAAAAATAAATGTCTTAAACCCCACTCACTCGTCACTTACCGGGATGCCAATTCAATCGAAACATTTACCATCACTCAAGAATTAAAGACTTACATCCACAACCACATTCCCCTTAATAGTATTATTAATAACCACACCGAAACTCCCTATAACCACATCATGCAACGCATCAGTAAAATTAACTTACTATGAGTAGAAACTATAAAATAAAACAATGAAAACACTCAATGTTTGAGTAGGCGCTATCAAATCAAACATGATTTTGAATAAAATCCACTTGTCTACAATTGTGTTTAAATTGAAATGGCTTATTAGTGAATGTTTTTACTCTAAAAGCTAGATTCGCCAAAAACTTGAAGTAAAATTTTCAACCCAGCAGAAAAGCTACATTTTATCACTCTACGTTCCGAAGCAAAAACACAGTGAACTCACTGCATGTCTCAATTGATTGTGGAATGATTTTGAGGTGTTTAGTTCTTTTAAAGTATCATTGATTATGTCTCCAAAATTAATTCTCCTGAATCTAGAATTTGTAGCTTTTGAGTTTAAACGTGATTTTTACATTGAAAATTTTAATGTTCAACTCAATTTTGCATAAAATTATCCAACATAAATCATCATCCAACTCACTTTTAACCGAATCAATTCTACAAAATCAATTTATTCAAAATCTATTCTCGCCGCGTAGAACCAAACACACACTTACTAAAATCAAATTCCACTTGAAACAAACTCAGTTACGAAACTCTTCAATTCAAAGCACACACTCAAACTATATATTCCCTAGGTTATATCTATCATCTACGTCAGCAACAACAACGCATCAAAATCACTAAATAAAACCAAAATTAAGAACAATTGAACGAAATGGAGGATGATTTCAACCAAAAACGCGTACCTGATCGGCCATTTTGTGCTTGATGATGGTGCTACGATCGAGTATCTTCATCGCAACGCTTTCACCAGTTTCAGTATTCTGAGCGAACTTAACCTTCGCGAAGGTTCCTTCACCAATGGTTCTTCCAATTTCATACTTACCCACTTTTCTCAGCACCATGCTTCGTTTTTTCTTCTCTCTGTATTCTTTTCTTGTTGTAATCAAAAACTGAAACTTTAAATCATTTCACTCTATAAGCTTATCACTTTAACAGCGATTAGTGAATTGATTAATGGATTGATTAGTGGATTGGATAGTTAATTAATTAGATTAGATTATCTTTTTTTTTAAGTGAAAAGAAGGAAGAGAAACTGGAGTAGATGATGAGTGAGAAAGGAAAGTGGATTTGGCAGGTGAGAGAATGAATTAAAAATGAAAAGGGACAAATGTGAATGAAAACTCTTTCTTTGAATTTCAAATTTGTGGGTGATGATTTTAATATGCACGACTTTGGATTTGGAGAACCGGAAAAGACGGCTTTTATTTGGAATAAAAAGAAAGTAAAGTTGACACTTGCCAAGTTTATCTAAGGTTTAACAAGAGAATAAAATTAAGAATTAAGTTGGGAGAGAGCATCATGATTGATGTCTCTTTTGGAAAAAAAAAAAAAAAGTTCGGTTTGTTTTTTTGAATGGGAGCAACTAAATTGAATGAACTAAGTTATTTTACGTGGGTCCAAATTGACAGGAAGGATTTAAACAATTTAAAATTGAATTAAAAAGTTTTTACTTCAATGGTGATGGTTTATAAGGAATTCAAACTTGATATTAAATGGTTAATAAAAATCTATTATTTATGTTAAATAATTAATAAAAATCTATTATTTATGTTAAATAATGAGTTAGAGTATGTTGTTTGTGTAGAGCACGTAAACTAGTTTTAGAGCATCACATATGTCATGTCAGCTCTACTATAATGCAAATTCATTATTACTAACGTAAGTTATACAAAGTTTTGGTTTAACAACTATGCGTTAAAGTTGCTCTTAGTTGGTTTTTTCTTTTTACTCCAAAATTGATATGAAAATTATATTTGAACATTTTAAATGAATGTGTTAAAAGGTGTTATTTGTTATTTTAAAGTCTACAAGTATCTTTTAAGTAAAAAAATCTATAAGATATTTTTGAATCAAAGAAGATGAATGAAAGAATGAAGTGTTTAATTTTAATTTAGTTTATTTTTAACCTAATTTGCATATTTTTGCTAAATATTATTTAAAAAAACCTTTCTGAAATTAGACAGGTGAAATCACGGTCGTCTTGTTTGACAAGAGGTATGTTAGGAATAAGGATGGCAAATAAACTCAGATCCGCCTGCATCTGTCCGGGTCTGTTCCAAAATTAACGGGAAAAAATCAATTTAATTGGGTGCGGGTGCATGAGAAACTCGATTCTTAACTACGAGTGTGAGTGCAGGAAAACACTAAGACCCGCCCGCACTTGCCCCGCCTCCAGATAATATATTTTACTTTAATTCCCTTATTTTACTTATTTTAATATTCATTATTAATTATATTTTTAATTAAATTATTAATGTCCTTATTGCAATTAAAATAATCAAGTTAATATTCATTTATTAATTAAAATTTTAATTAAATAATTAATTAATTTATTAAAATATTTAATTTTTAATTAAATTATTAATTTTTATTACAATTAAAAATAAATTAACTTTTTGTGGGTGGGGGCGAGTGCGGGTGCACCCTTTCTCTACTAGGGGCGGGTCTGGGCGGTAAAATTTTACCCCTGGTTGGGTTTGGGGGCGGAGGGCGGGTTTGTTACATATACCTGCACCCCCCCTGCCGGGTTGCCATCCCTAAGTTAGGAAGAATTTATGAATATCATTTTATATCATATCAGATTCCCCCATTGGTGTTTGATGTTGAAGGTCTTTTTATATCATAAGCCTTTCTCTTCCCCTAGATCTGAAAAGGTGTGGTTAATGGTTTTTAGTAACCATTAACCATTTGTAACTGCTCATCTATAACTGTTCCATAATAGATTTGTCCATTGGAATGCCATAACGGCTCCGACTTGGACGGTCCTTTCAGAACTCGATAAATTGCGTTCGAAATGGGTATGAAACCTGTTGCCCGACTTCATAATAATTCTTCGGCCTCCTAAAATTCTCGGGATGTACATAAGCCTTCAAAGCATGAGGCCTGTAAGGGTGAAGTATTTTGATTTACCTCGGATCACATAAACTTGTCATAATTGTTTTAAAGACTTTGTTTAAGTTCGTGGTCTTGAGGATAGACCAATTCCTATTGTATATCAGAAATATTTATGATTTCGAAGGAGTTGGAGAACCCTAATAGACTCGCGGTGTAGATCAATCAGAGAGCCCAAGTGGGATTTTAGATATAGTGAGGTCGGATAGAGAAGTCAGAGAACCCCAGTGGGATATCAACCTATTGATGTCGTATAACTTGGTAGTTTATAGACATGGAGAAGTCGGAGACCCCCTGGTGGGATCTCAACCTATTTGCATCGTAAAACTCGATAGGTTTTAGACATAGAGAAGTCGGAGAGCCCCAATGGGATCTCAATCTATCAGTGTCGTAGAACTCGGTAAGTTCTATACATAGAAAAGTCGGAGAGCCCTAGTGGGATCTCGACCTATTATGTCATAGAACTCGCAGCTCCCCTAAAGAGATGAGGAGTTCTTGACTGTGGTCGAGGTTCCAGTGGGAGAGGCTTGTTGATTGATTTTAGGAGAATAGAAAATTTGTCATCTTAAGGAGAATACTCGATTTAAACCACCACAAGCATGCAGAAGATGGTATTTGCTTCACTTTGAGAGAAGGGCTCTAGCTCGTGCATAAAATTGACGAGTATGCCACATACCTCTCTCAATCGGAAAATATTTTACATATTTCTTGACTATGTTATGAGGTAGGAGAATTATATCTCAACTTCATATATGATTTATGTCTAATTCTCTTGTGGGAGAATATAGGATTTAATCTATAAGTTGTCTAAGTTAACATCCGAAAGAGAATTTACCTAATTCTACAAACTGTCATGCCCGATGTTGGTCTTATAGTCTAATCTTAATTCAAATTAATCAAAGATTAAATTAAATCAATATGTCCTAAGGAGAACATGTGGAAATCAAACAAGCAAGCAGTCAACCAAAGCGATAAAGTAGCTTGAGCATCGTCACCGCGCAGTTTACTAAAGAAGTCGTGACGAATACTAATCACAAACTTACAAGAACTAATTTTATTTTCATAAACCAAAAGCTAATTGCCGATCAAGATTAATCAATCCAAATTTAGAATTAAGATTAACATCAAGATTGAAATTTCGCACAAAATCAAAACCAAGATCAACGTCACAATTTATTTTATCAAAACTCAAAATAAATCAACACAATTTAATATTGAAATTGACCTAAAGTATTACCAAAACATTCATGAATTAATTCTACAAAATAATTCAAATCTAAAACAAAGAAAACTTGGGCTTAGGTTAAAAGAACAAGAAACAATTTAAGAAAAAAAACGTCGGGCCTTGGGGAATACCAAGCCCACCGATCCAACCCACATAGCAATAACTATGAACATGAGAATGAAAAGAACCAGCATAACATTTTCTGTGTCTCGATTTGTCCTTCTTCACCCTCCCGCGCTGCCATTCTCACTATCAACTCCGTCTCTCTCTCGCCTGCGATACGCCATCTTCCTCTCAACTCAAACACTTCGCCATGCTCTCACCCTCTCCTTCGCGTTTTCTCTGCAACTCAAACTGAAAGTGGTAAGAGATGGAGGATTCAAGAAGGGTACCTGCGACGACGATTTTATGGTGGTTTCTCGATGATCTTTATGCAGGATGAAGGTTTGTAGTTTCAGATCTGTGTATTTGTGTTCTTCATCTTTCGTGGTGTTGTTGCGAATCATCATTTCGAAACCGTGTTGATGTGTTCTGCGCGCATGTTTGTTCTAACGTATGGGTATTTTTCGTATGTGTGAATTCTTTTCGGTGCGAGTGTTTATGAATTTTATGAATGTGTATGTGGTTTTGCTCGCTCTGTTCTTAAACTGTGTGTCTGTTATGTTATGATTTTTTTTTTTTGTGAATTTCCTCTGGGTTACTCTTTGCAATGCGTGCGGATTTGCTATGATTTGTGGTTTTGTTGTACGACTCTTGCTTACTGATTCTTCAACTCTTGCCTTCTTCTTGTTGTTGTCTTGTCTTTGTATAGATGCAAATATATTAACGGTTATAATTGTGAAAAAAACTTGTCTTGAGATCAATGTTGCTCTGATTGTGTTCGTCATTTTTTTAAAAACAAATTACTGTTGCCCTAAATTTGTTATGAACAACTTTGAAGTCTGAATTTTGAATCGCATTGATTATTTTCTCAGAGCATGTGTCTTGGAAACTGATGTGAGTGTTATGTCACAACTGTAGGTGCCATTTCGTGTATCTACCTACCTAAGTGATAACATGACACAAGGATGAATGGTCCTTGAAGCTTGTTGTTGTCAGGAACACTTTTTATTGGTTTTTTTATTGTTCTATCCCACTTTGAAATTAAAAATTACATAATATCCCGTTCTAAAAATTATTTACTGATATATCTTTTTGCATTGTCCATTCAATTGACAAGTTTGGGCAACCATTTTGGCACAAAAGTGACCTCGTCCATCCATCCAGTAGACGAGTTTGTGAAGAACTTTTTTTTCTGATTTATTTATTTAATAATTTATTAATTAAATAAATCATTAAACAAACAAATCAGTATTTATAATATTCTGGCCCAAAAATGATTTATTAATTAATTAATATTTATAGTATTTTGACCCAAAAATTAATTAATTTGTTTATTTATAGTATTTAAAAATTAATTAATAAATCATTAAATAAATAAATCAGAAAAAAAAGATTCTTCACTCACTCTTGGGCTAGAATTGTTGCACAAACTCGCCAATTGGATTGACGAGCCCACATTAAAAGGGAGTATATCAGTAAATAATTTTTAAGGTGGGATATTATGGGATTTTTAATTTTAAAGTGTGGTAGAACAATAAAAAAAACTCTTTTTGATAGCAAGCCAACAACTTCCTCAAAGCTATGGCAGGTTGAACGAGAGTTAACCCTTTTTCCGGAAGAAAA